GCCCGGGTTTACTTCATCCAACTTGTTAGTCAAGCTTGTGGAATTTAAGGAACCGTATCCAGCCGGAGAGGGGTTATTTTGTTTGGCTCTGGACCTCAGGATTCCTGCAGAGAGCATTCAGTCTGCTAAGTGTTGCGTTTGCTCAACGATCGCTGATGGGCAATCCTGGGAGATTCAATGGTGGCTTTTGTCAGTAACATTTTGCTACTGTCTTTCGACATGGACCTAACTGGCATTCAGCTTGCAGATCAGGATGGCGCTGTTTTGCGTGTTTCCCAGGAATTACACCCCACTGGTCGATTCATAGTCCCGCTTTAGATTGAACGCTTTCAGCTTTTTTGTTTGGCAATACCGCATCTCAGCTTCTCTCTAGTTTGGATTCGTGGTTTGGGTATTTGAACCCCTGGTTCTTGCAGAGGGTAAATTGGGAAACCGCACCTACCCACCAAACCTCCGGGCTCTAAAACACCAAAACCAAAAAGAAGAAAGCCGAGCTTCTTAGAGACTTACCGAGTCCGGGTGATGTTGGGAAGGAACCCACCGGTTTTGGGGACATTCCCTGCCTATCGAACCGGCAAGTTGTAGCAAAGTGGGAGAAGCTGGCGCCATTTGTACCAGAGATTCGGAGGGAAGAGCAAGACATGAGTCATTAACAACCAGGCAATTGAAGGGTACTGTCCAAACCTAGAATGGGTGCGACAATATCCGACAATATCTGCCCTTTGATTCCTTTACATTGGCTGGGGCAGGGCATGTTTGTATGTTTGGTCAAATTGTCCTCCCAGTGTGGGGGAATCCGGCAGTTGAGGCATTCGTTTTGGTTGTCACCAAAATACATGTCAACCCAACCCCCCCCACGTCCCCCCCCCCCACCCATTTTATGAGGTTGTGAGTACCATCGAGGCGGTGCTGCGCCCAACCTGCCTGCTGGTGCAGAACTTGCTGCCTGCCTATGAGGCGAAGGGGGAGAATGCCATGTGCCACCGTGTTCGGCTTGGGTTTGAAGGGGAACAAAGGAACCCAGTTGTTCAGTGGCACCAATTATTTTTCCCTTTTTTTGGTGGCTGCCCCACTAAAAATGGTCTTCCCCAAAAAGGGTTCCCTTTTTTCCAGGGTCACTGAACAACTGAGGGAACACCCAGCCCATTTTTTGGAGTCCACTTTTTTGAGGGTGTAAAGGGGACCCTTAAGCTTTAGTTCCCCATTCGACCGCTTGTGCGTTTCTTTTTGAGGGTACCCCCCTTTTGGGCGTTGGTTTGCAGGGAAACCAAAAGGACACCACCCATGTCGTTTTAAAATGACAACATTTGCCCAAAACACCATGTGGAACATCATGGAGCCAGTGCTCCATTCGTGCTTGTCTTTTTTGGGGGGCGTGGGGGGGGGGGGGGATGCTTCCGAGGGAAACCAACATATACCTAGCTTCTGTTGTTTCCCAGGCGGGATTACCTTGCTTCCCAAATTCACATGATCAGCTATGTGAACATGGTGCGATTTCCTGGTGCACGTCATGATTATGGCTTCCTTGTCGGGACACTTATAGGTTATCTATAGTTTCCTGTAAACTCCCCCCTCGAGAGTGGCCGTGAGGCCGTGATCCAGAACAACGACGATGGCCAGAGCGAGGAGGAGGCCATGGCGGGACACTCCCCCGGTTCTTGGGTAAGTGCTACGTCTTCCATTTGGTTAATAATATTTTTTTGATTTTCCCATGTTGGTTTTAAAGGGAATCTATCACTACTGGACATATGTTTTTTGTTTTTTTCAGAGGACTTAAGCAAATGGAGGACGTTGAAGGGCTCAAAATAGTCGACTGTTGGGGGGGATTTCCCTTATGTCACTTTAGTGGACATAGTTGTCAACTGTTCAGCTGGGTTATTGAAAAGCCATCCGGTAGTGGTGTCCCAAACGGAATGTGAATTAGGATTAGGACTGCCCCCCTTTCGGAGAAAGGACCCAACCACGCTTCCCTCCTAGCTACTGTTCATGTGACGCGAAGGCAACCAACCACCATCAAAATCAATCCAGTCAGAACATCTAAATCTGATGTTTCTCTTGTTTTGGTGTCCTAACAATATATTTCTCTTGTTTTAGTATAGGGATTGCGGATCATTCCTTGGATTCGGAGCCTTGCCAGGGTGGCATTGCGCCAATGGTGGCGCAGACCATGGAACTCCTCCAGGCAGGAAAACGTTGGTTGGTTGCCCCGAAAGCGGAGAACCATCCAAGTGGTGTCCACTTTGGCGCATTTTGCTTGGATGTTGGGACTTGAACTTTTTGCCAACTAGTGGGTTTTCCGTTAAACCACTAAAAGATCTAAAAGTAAAGAAACAACTTTTAGCAAGGGAGCACAAAGCAAACGAGTCCACCAGGGGTAGTAGGATACGTGTTGGGCCCAAGGATGGAACTCCGTGCCAATCAGTGCGATCGACAGACCGTGCCTTTCAGATGTCTGCATTTCTTGCGACACTCGGACCGCCTTTGCATGACTTTCACAAGAGCTCTTGGACCTCTGGCATCACTGCCTATCTCTTTAGTTGTCAATAAAAGGTTTAGGCTTGTTTTGGCCAGTCCACTAAGGAAGTGAGAAACCGACCCTACAACCATTTGGTGCTCCCGGTTTGGTCCAGTCAAAGTGCCGACGGTGAACATAGTACTGGTCTCAACAAGTGGGATACTGCTGACCCGTGAGCCGACCTAGACCTTTGGGTTTTGTTCAAAATGGATCGGCCCATTTTGAGTCATGGCCCGGAAAGATGGGCTCCTTTTGGCGATGTGGTGCAATGGTTGTGCATATATGTCAGAAATGTAACGGAGATGTCATGGTTGACGTCACAAACCAAAACTTGCCACAAGACTGGGAGTCGCCCATTAGGGGCAGAAGGCCGAATATTCACGACATTTATCGATGGCAACGTGAATTTGGGAGGTGGCTTGGGACTTCCATCGAGCGGCAACAAGGGTTTCATTGGAAGGTTTGACGCCAGAGGTGGCTACTGTTTTATGAGATCTTCTTCGTGATGTGGGCGCATGGATGTCCTCCTTGCTGGTCCTTTTTGTAGACGCATTGTTCTGCGGATTTTTACTTTGTAATTTGACCTGAAAACTCGGCTTAGTGGTTAATGGGGCAATCATTTCGACATCGATACATATATACCGGAAGCCTGGTGAACAAGAATATTCCTACGAACATGTTAGACAAATACGATTTTGCTGAACCATACGGGGGATTTGTACAGGTCTTTTGTTCGGATGCTGTACGGCTGTACGAGTTCCGAGAATCAAAGACATGTTTCGTGTTCAACAAACAGGTGTTCGGCAAAACACCTGTGTCAAGCCAGCTTTGTCCATTCAGTACCCACAAAACAGCGAGAGTTTCGCCTACCAGGGTATATGGTTCATATGCTCAGCCTTGGTACTTTGCAGAGAGGCTTCCAATTCACATGAACCCCACAAAAGTGGGTGCATTTTTGTTGTGATTAAGCTTGACATGGCTGTGTTTGTTCGATTCCTCGTGGCAACTTGCAGAGTAATCTTTGGTGACCCATATGCGTTCTAATGGGTTCCTTTTGGATGCGCTTCACTCATTGAATAGCCACCTCTGCAAGCTTTCTCGGATCCGTTGATTCCCCATGTTGAGTCCCAGAGGCGACTTGCGTGCAGGTCATGGCGACCCGGTCCAAGCTCAAGGGCCTGCTGAAGAACCGTGTGAAGAACCTGATCCAGGCGCTTTCCACGTCCCCGCGAAAGTGGGCGAAAGAGTAGCTGGCGCGAGGTGTATGGCTTCTGCTTGGCACACAGAGAACCTGGTTTTTGACATCCAGTTGGTTCGATATCCATAGTTCCAGTATTTCCACCTGGCTTTTTGGGTTGGGAGCTTTTGCACGAGCACCGGTGAATGTTTATTGTCCACCGCAATGGGATGGCTTGGGCACACAACTCCTTCGCACATAGGGGGGTACCAAATTCCAAAGTCATTGGCAACTTGGGGCAGATCGTAAGACGATTGCCTGTGGCTTACATGTATCTTGGCGGTTTCCAGTCGTCCTGTTCCTAAGGTTTTCAGTTGCTTTTGGTTGGTGTAGTGGTTGTGTTTCCGAATTTCACCCACAAGTTTTCGGCCCTTAGCAGGAGATCAGAAAACGGACAGCCCATGTGTGTCTATTTTATTCAAAGAGGACCACTGAAATAGTGGTTTTCCGGTTGGTTTGTTTCAAAAAGGGAGAACACCGCAAAGCAAACAAGACCCGGGGACCCCTGTAGTGGTTTTCCGTTGGTTACCCTTAGGCCCAAACCAAACCCACCCAGGTGTTTTCCTTCCATTTGGCCTCTGGGCGCCGATAAAGAAACGGCGAGACTCCGAGACACCGGCGGGAGTTGGGTGGTGTGGTCTTTTGGTGTTGTTTTATACGAAAGGCTCAGGACCGAATATGTTTTCTATATGAGTTATGGCAAGACAACGGATTGACAACTGATCAGTAGACAATACTGAATCATCAACAGCCGGACCGAAGAATTTGCAATGTGAGTTAAGGCAAGACGCGACGGACAACTGACATGTACTATAGCACAATGAGGTTCCTCGTTGCATCGCTACAATATTCGCATTGGAACTCTTGGTCACGAGAAAGAGGGACAACCGACCACCCAGAAGGCCGTGCGCCCCATGCAGAATGAATTGCGCAGGTGGTGAGGCGACCTGTTCCAGGGCTTCAAAACGGCCTATATATATATAAACTCTACCCTGGATAGTCCCCACTTTGGGCATGCTGACTGACTACTTGACTGGATGGTTTCGGATTGCTCAGAACTAGGGCGATGAAGATGAGTTCGCATGCATATTATGTGGGCATGGGTCAAAATTAAACCACCAGGGGACCGCAGGTTTTAGTCCATGTTACCAGGGTTCCGTTTTGGGTACCTATTGTTGACCCACAACCATATATATATATGACGAAACGTTTCAGCCTGATTCTACTGGATGCATGTCCTTCCTGCAACTTCCTTCACTCCAAGCATTGTTGCACTGAAGCAGCCACGTCTCGAGCCGGCGATGCAGACTTTTTTCCATCATGGGGTTTTAGAGCTGCAGCGAAATTGACTGAGCTCTGTGGGCGTGGCGATTCTTCCGCCCAAACATTCCCATGAAATTTGGACGGGGTGACCTGTGGCGTTCCCCTGTGAATGTGGACCAGGGCCAGGAACGCCGATATTGCGTCATGCTTCGGATGAGCGAGGTTTTCTGGATGTCTACACCTGCTGTTGCTTTGAGTATGTTAATCCATTGCTTGCATCTCGCTCCCGTTTTTGTTTTTTTTCTTCCCCCGTTTCCGGCAGGGAAGGTAGAAACCACAGCCTCAGAGTCAGCTCACTGGAAGCCACTCAGGATCATTCCACCCAAGTGGAGTCCCAAATTTCCTCGGTGAGAGGTTTTATCGTAGTGCACATTTGCCCCTGAAAAGACCCCAATGTTTGTTCAACTCCGGTCAGTTCCTTTTCATGTAAGGGGCAAACCATTCATTACTAGTGTGTCCTCCCACAACTGTGACGTGTTTTTTGTTTTTGATGTTTGAAACAAAATATATTGTAAGTACCCCATAACTCGATTTCAACTATTATGGGCCCCATATAGCCTGTGTCCCCTGCCTTTGCTTTCCAGTTGCTGGTGCCCTTCATGCGCATCACGGAGTCTCAGGCCTGCAAAGGGCAGATGCTTTTTCGGTGCTCCGACCCAAGAGCTACCTGTGGCACGGCCTGCGCCATTCTTTTGGGCTAGGCCGCGCGGAATTGAACCACCGCCAGCACTCGGGTCCCATCTACTACCGTACTTGGGATTGGGACATTGGAAAAAGGCAGCGGTTGGGGGTGCTGGAAAGGTAGAGCAAATACGACTTAGCCATCGAGTTGGTTTAGTTTCGTTTTGCAGGGACACACTTGCTACCCTTGTGGTGATTGGGTCAGTCGGAGCACCTTTGTATGTGGGACATGGTTGTGGAAAGTTTGCTTTGATGCCACTTTCTGTCTAAGGGAATCCCACGTTGAGGCGACACATATGATGGTCAGTGGTCATGGTGGGATCAGAATCCTCGCAGTTTTCGGAAGGGGACCCCCTCCCCCACAAACACACCTGGGAAAGACGAACATAGACAACCTGTTGGAGGTTTGGGGTCTGAACTTCCGCTTAGAGTTGTGTGGACTCCCGCGGGGGCTGTTTTTGTCCGTCGAAAAGGACTTCTGGCACGGGCGAAAATGCAACATATTGACCTGACTCCAGAGCTGACCCAAAAGGATCCTCCTTGGAGTTTCGCTTTTCTTTGGCGAGTTTGCATGCTGCTTTGAAAGCCCGAGTTGGACTCGGGCCATGTTGGTTTGTTCGGTGCTACCACAAGAAAGGCCGCCACCATCTGAATTGGTCTTTCCCCCAGCAACAGATCTCCATCGATGGGCGAAATTCAACGGACAATCCAATTGCTTCCTGAATAATTGCTAAAGGTTACAGTTCCACCAAGAACCAGCCATGTCCTATGCGGACGGGCAAGCACACTTGTGAGAACTTCTTTGTTGGCTTTCCGAGCCGCCTGACAATCTGTTGGACGAAGGGTGAATCCCTGATGAATCCAGTAGTAAGACTAAATATGAACCAGGTATCTCCGTTTAACCTTATATATATAAATATACATAGCATATAGCAATGTTACGGTAGAACGCACATTCGCGCAAACCACGCAGTCTCCATGTACGTCATTCACAGGCTTTAGATTTGATGTGTATGTTATGTTTGATTGTACATTTTCAGACACACACACACACAAACGCGGATGATGGGAACAAACGGGTGGTCTGAACTACGTGCACCAAGCAACCACCCTCAACACGAAGCACGTGAAATCTTAGACTTTACCCAGACACATCTGGGAGGAGGGATTCATTGAGCACTCCGTTTGAATGGCTTAAGGGAAGTCAAAAGGAAGGGAAGTCAAATCGAAGCACCTGCTCAATAAAACAGAACGGCTGGTTCCTGAGGGATTCCCTCGCCAGGTAGCTGCGTGGAAAGCGGATCCCAATGAGTATTTGCAGCAGGACGGAGCGGGACGGAGCGAGCGTGGGTCTCACACGAGCTGAAAACATGCGCATGTCGAGTCAAGTGGCTCAATGGGAAACCCGCATTTAGGGCCCCCCAGCTTTGAGAGGTTATGGAAATGGAAGGGAAAGCCTGCTGGGAAGGGAACCAAGTGTGGGATGGTGGGGGGTCACCTCTTTTCCGCCGCGATTTCATTAGCAGGTGTCAGTTGTGTTTGCCTGATCTTCCGCCCAGCCCGTATTCGTGAATGTATGCGAAGGGTTTCTGAGGGAAGTTGTAGCATCGCCGGCTTCAGATTGGCATTTCAGTTGAGCCCCCCAAATGGCGAAATGGTTCGCAGCCCACTTTCGATCCGTGGGAAGACAATGTTTCTATGAGCTGGCGGGTTGAAGGAGACAGGGTTTCAATCTTTAGGTTTAACAAAAGTGAGCATTGTTCGTATCACGCCCTTTTGTTCTCTCAATGGTGAGGAGGGAGGTTTTCCTAGCGATATGTCTTGCCACGTGGCACAAGCGTGTGTGCACTATTCGAAGGTCCAAATTCATGCATCGACATGTTCTCCCACACGGATGTACGCATGCTCCATGTAGGTAATATAACCCAACATTTGACCTAAATATTCCCATGGAGTGTCTGGGGATGTACACAGACCCTTAAGACCAATGTCGTGAAAAGGATTCCCTGGGCTTTCACGAGGTAGCTTCATGTCCAGACGTGTGTCAAAGGAGACATTCTATGGACTTATCACATGGCCATTGTAATATCTTAGACTTCAAGCTCCATACGTTCACCGGGAAGCATAAACTCGAGCAAAGGCCACTGCGCAGGTTTCTTTGGCCGTTTTGCCTGGTAGTCATGGCGACAACTAGTTCCCCTTTGGGAACTTGTGAACTTGTCTTCACGATCCCAGGAAGAAGATGACCACTTCAGGCGCTCGTGTTGGACCCGTGGCTCCGTTTCGGAGTCATATAGTGTGTGCGTGTGCATTTGTGTATGTGCTTGTGTCGGGAACATCCTTTTCACCGTGGTTTAGCGGGAAAACAACAGAGAAGAAAGGCAATTCATTACTATAATTATTGTTATTACTATTATTGCTTATTATTATTATTATTATAATTATTGTTATTAGATATATATATATATATGTACATATACATATTTCAGGGGGGACGGTCCACCAATTTCAACACGTATATTGGTTGCGCTTGGGTTCGGTGGCTGAAGGTTTTGACCTTTTGGGTTCGGTGTTTACTCAGCAAAAAGTGAGGACTTGTGATTCAAACAAACGCCGGTTGCACCTTTTGGTCCCTTGGCCGCAAACAACCGCTGAGAGGTGTTGAGCTGTTGCTAGGTCGGGTTTCAGGCGGATTGAGAGACGGGCAGTAATTGTTTGGCCTTTTTTAGCACACCAGGGTGAAAACAGATTCCAATTCCATTCAATTCCATATTCCCATTCTGTAAGTCTATGCAGGGGACAAGTAAGCCCAAATTGGGGGAATTGTGCTATCTATTGAATGATTCGCCAAAGAGACCGGTGTTCTTAAGGGCGTCAGCGGACCTTGTTGGAGATGGATGGGCATGGGTATGGATATGGGTTTGTATTTTGTTTCAGGGCAGCCCCTTTTTGGTTGGTTTTGAGGAGCAAACAAAAGGAAACCCACGATGTTGGGGGTTCCTTATAAAAGACAGACCCATATGGACTTGTGCATCAAATGTGAAGCTTGCTTATGCTTTAAAGGCGGATTTGGACATGGCCAGAGGCGGCCAATCGAAAGGACAGCCCTTCTCAGCGCAGGGGGATGACCTCAAGGCTCAACTGATTGGAGAAATTATAGCGACCTTACATCGGTTTTTGTTTGCTATCAGTTTCACCCATTTTCTGAGGCGGGTGTCTTTGGGGCTTGTTTCTCATATCTCGATTCTGAAATCCACACCCCATCCCACCACCCCCCACCCAACCTCCACCTCCCCACCCCACCACCCTGATCCGATCCGACGCCAGGGGCTGCATGGTGCGTCTCTCCGGCGAGGGCCTGCTGGGTGTGATGATGGAAACCTTTAAGCGCCCTGCCAACTTGGGCCTCGGGTCTTTCCCTATTTGGGGGGACGAAAACGTCCAACCAACAACAAAGGGGTGTGTGTTTTTGTTGGTTTCCCATTGGGCCTGCTTTGGATTTGTTTAACAAAAAATGTGCGTGCTGTTTTTGGTGTCCCTGTTGTCCTCCTTTGGATTTTTTTCAGCAAAAAATATGTGTGTGTGGTTTCTTGGTGTCCTTGTTTGTAATCCTTTGTATTTGCGTTCATGGGTTTTCCGACATCAAAATGCAAGCAGTTTGCTCAGGTCCTGCGAGAAAAGGGTGCAATGACGGTGCAATGTAACGTGCGGTCTTTGCAAGTGGGCCAGCCGCCCCATGGGTTGAGTTTAAACATTGGAGGCATCAGGACGCCAACCCTGAACGCATCCATCCCTGATTTGAACTTATCATTCAGTCCTTGTGTGGTTAAGCGCCTGTTGACGGACTATGAGCGGCAATGGTATCCACATATAACATATGGAGCCAAACCTGGTTGAACATGTATTCTTGGTGATGCTTTCGCTGACTTCTTACATGTCAGCAACATATGTGCTATCAAACCACCCCTTTGGTTATGATGATGTTGTTTCCCACACTACAAAGCATGCTCATGGTTAGGATTATCATCCTTTGCATTCTATGTTGGAAAGCCGGTTGATAGGGCTCGGGCGTCTAAAAGGGAATCATGGCCCTCGAACTCGTTTGGACTGCCGACTCGCCGACTTTCGCGCAGTCCACATAGACACAACACGGACACACGGGGTTTTACTTATGGATGTTGTAAGTATGTATCATAGATAAGGTCATGTCTCCATGCGTGCAGGCTGACAGAGGCAAACGGACGTCCATCCATCCAAAAAACATAGGTACGTATATGCATGCACACTTACATTCCTTTTTACAAACATGCCTGCATACATGCATACGTGCATACATGCATACATGCATACATGCATGCATGCATACATACATGCATACATACATACCTATATGTATATGTATATATATATATATATGCATATACATGCACATATACATATACGTATACGTATACAAATGTTCATTTACATATACATATACATACAGAAGCCGTTGTGCACATGCCTTGGGCTGCAATGCCGCTCGCAATGATCACGTGTGTTCCATCTATGTTGGGCAAATCGGAATCTCACCGTGCGTGTGCGGCCAAGTGCGCCCTTGGTTGCCTTTCTCGCGGGCGCACTGCATGTTTTAACATCAAACTTACTCACGCGGTGGTTGTTGTTTGGCAAGGAAGCCTTTGGAGTTGCAAAGAGAGACCGATGTTCCGTCCTCTTGGCAACCAGAGGATCCCAGCAAACCTCTATGGGTAACGAGTCATTATCCTGGTTTATCAAGGGTTCTCTTACCTGCAAAGATAAATATCTCAGTTCTCCCTAGAGTGGGCAAGTTATTTTCCATTTGGTTGTTGCTTGGTACCCGCGAGTTGCCTAGTTCAATGGACCCATTTTGAGCCAAATTCCCAGGCGGGAGGCCCACCGGTCCCTCGCCGGAGTGGTGGCCGATTTGCGCCTTGGATGCGACACCTTGGAGTGTTGGGTCTGTCTCACGCCCCGAGTTCCTGGATTTGATTTTTGGTTGGGGGAAGACTATGTTGTAAATGTATAGTTCAGACTTTTGTGCGAAAGAATCCGCTTAATGAAGGGGAGGATTGGAACAGGCCTGGTTGTGGAAGATGGATGGTTTCAAGGGCTGGCACTTTCTCTGGGATTGGTGGATGAAATGTGGGATCGCAAGCAGAAACAGCAATTCCCCAGAATCATTTTCAGGGATAGGGAATAACGAAGAAGCTGTGCCATCGCTTTGAGCGCTTTGAGACGCTTCTCCCCGATTTGTTAAACCCACGGCGCGCAGAAACCTGGACCAGGTTGGTGGACCATCAGTTCAACAGTTGCGGTTTTGGGCAGCCTAGGTCCTGCTTATCCATGCCTAGTTGATAGGTAGGCATTCACATATTGGTGCACTCGAGTGTATGGAAGGGGGGGGCAAATGCTTCCCAGTCAGGGTTCCTGCCCAAACTTGTTGTAGACAAACCATGTCCAGGGCTGGCCTAAGATGCTACTGGTATCTACTGGTACCCCGTCCTTGTTCCATGAACAGTATTGCATCAATGTCGATTTTCCATGACCAGAGCATTGCTGAGAGCAAGTTCGATTCTAGAACGTTGCCCTAAATGTTGCAAGTGCACCAACCAACCACCATGGCAAACCAAAGTGTTTTATTTATGACCTGTTTGCAACATCTAGGGCATGCACCATATCTTTCCCTGATGCTGTAGGTATCTGAAGCTTTTTCCTACTGGGCAGGGGTATTTGCTGGAATGGTACTTCAGCTGGCAACGAGAAGCATGCTTAGAGGAAGTCTCAAGAACCGCAGGTTTGCGAGTTGAAAGGACGGACCAAGACTGGGAGGACGAAATAATTGCAACTTACAAGTTGCTCTTCTCCAATTTCTGTTGGGACTTGCCGTCCAGCGGGCTTAGGCTGGAGCGCGGTGAAAGCAGCCGAGGTCAGCAAATCGTTGCTGGTGCTGAAGCCCGTCGAAACAATTGAGGTATTTCTCCGAAAAGGGACACTAGGGGGTGGATGAGAGTGATTTTTCTCCAGGCTCTCAATTTGGAACCCAGAATGGGGCTTATGATTCCGGATGTCGTTAGGTCGCCACGGGTTTTAGTGCACTGGCTTGTCTTTTGATTGGTTTGTCGTGGTGATTTAGGGTGTGGGCGGGCCAGACGCTTGATGGGCATGTGGCTCAAGACATTGTTCTTTGGGGCGGTTCTCACTCTCAAGGGGTCATTCGGACCAGTGGAAAGGCTTGCACGACTTTCGCGGGGCTTGTTGAAATTGTTCCAGCAAGAGGCCGCTTAGGAGCTTGGCAAAGGGGAGTGTCTTTGAGAATGCCCTCTTTCAAGTGGACGCCAGCCTTGATATGGACAGCTTCATGTTAAGCCGAAGAAAGACACGACCTCAAATAATGAAGAAACATATGGCGGGACTCCCCCAGCTGTTGGTTTCCCCTTAACCAGGGTGAGGCGGGTACCAATCTATTTGTTGGGAAATGGAAGACCATCCCCCCCTGCCCGCTGCTCCTGCAGGCGACGCCTCCGCTTGGAAGCTCACAGAGGCGCGGAAGTGCCAGTGTTTGTTTCTGGCTTGGGGCAAGACACACATCATATGTTTTGCAAAAAAGGCAACAACTGTATTTAACACCTATCATATTATGGTTTTGTCAAACAAGGCAACAACTTTATTTAGAAGCATACTATGTGACATATCGGGTTTTCAAGAACGTTGTTGCCTTTTTTGAAACACAACGGCGAAAGTGGACAGATCTTAAAGACCGTTGCCTTCTTCCAGCAACTCATATGGCTGGAGAGAGAGTAGGTGGCCGTCTTCTGTAGCCCGATCCATCCAGTGGCAGGCAACCACTGGAAACCATCTGAAACCTAAGAGATCTGAGGATCCAACAGGTTCTGGTCGTGAGGAAGCATGGGGTTGGAACCCATGTCAATGTGCTGAGAACCTTGGGGGTCAACTGATCTGAAGGTCGTTTAAAAAGAATGCTAATATTGGGATAGATTAACAGGAGGACCAGGAGGACCGTACTATGGGGTGGTTCCCCATGTCAGGACATCAGGTCTTCTCACTAGGTTTCTGTGGAATAATCCGAAGCTAAGAGTCCCTCTTTCATGGAGTTCCAAAACCCCATGATTCGAGGTCTTTGGGGTCAAATGAAATAATATTTCGGGTCTTGGGATCCTAGCGATGATCTGGAAGTGGCCTCCCACGCAGAGTTCGAACCCTTTTGTTCGATCTGAAAATCAGGGCCTACGCCCCCAGTGTTCAGCCAAATCCATCAGTCATCAAAGCTTACGTGCTGAAATCCTAGTTCCTCAGTGGCATGGTCGGTTCCTCACAAGCGGTCAACATGGCCAACCCCGAGTTAGGTTCCCTTTTCTACCATGGTTACTGGGCAACTGGGCATGGCGAGCTTTGAGACTGTTTGGGTAAAAAGGACCTCTTGATTGATTTTGTGAAAATGCGCCGAGCCTCATGCGGTCCGGCCCTCACTCGCGGTGTGCGAATTGTATTTGAACAAAGATCTTGTTCGATTCCTGAATGCAGGTTGGTGAATTCAGGCGGTGCAGATGGCTGAATGGTAGACTCATGGGGGCCGGAAAACGACGAAAGCTTCCAACCACTAAGCTCGACCCAACCATTGCTCAATTGTTGGGGCTTCAAATGTCCATGCTACAAACAATCATACGTCATGAATCGCAACTCGCCAGTTGGGCCTTCTGATCTTCAGCATCGCAGTTCAGGAGGTGCGGAAAACCCCGGACCTGGGCACAAGGGGATCATGCGGGGGCGATGGCATCGCTGGTGCTGACAAGCTATGCTTGGATTTGCTTCTTTGTCCCTCCGGTTTAGAACCAGTGGCATTTGTTGTTTGGAATCGGAATATCGACACCAAAGGCTCGCCGGCTCGTTCTTGTAAGGCAGAAGGAAGTCGTTTGCAATAGTTCTACCAAAGAAGTCCCCGGAAAGTTGCGGAATTGAGCGGTTCGTTACCATGCCTGAATTCTGTCTTTGTTTGGGGGTACCTTTTGTTTAAAGATGGAAACTTAAAGGGCTATCACCATTTTCGGGGGTCCCCTAAATGTATTGAACCAGGGCCCAGGGGTTTGCCCTATCCCACCCACCCCACATCCCCGCTATAGGGAACCATGATTTGAGAGGTTGAATGTTGCAACCGAAAACCCCCCCTCCCCAACCTCTTCCCTTCCCTCAACCATGACCCTAAGAGGATAGTTGTTTTGCACATCGAAGACTGAAACGAAGATGATGTTCATAGTGAAAACCATGGGTCTGAGAAAATTTGAGAAAATTACTGATGTTTGGGACTAAACATAGCCACGTACTCCATGTAGGTAATTAACATATACCGGGTAAATATTCCCTACATGCAGTGTTTGGGATAGACAAACATCTACATTTGTTGTCTTTTCTGCGTACGGATTTGGGGCGAAGAAACGTGTCAACTTCAGATTCAGCATTTTTTTCTTTGGCCCCCAGTTTGACCTGGGTGGTAACTTTTGCCATGTGGTTAAAAGGTATCATAGTTTTCGTGGTTTTCCAACCAACGAGTGGTGTACTTTTTTCCATGGGACATTTCACCTGGTTTTGCAGGCAATGGTCATCTCCATGTTCATGAAGCACCTTTTGATCAACCATGTGATGGTGAGGTTCATGTGGAGAAAATGAGGTCGTCCAAGCCACGTTCGTGGAGGAGCTTTTCTATTTCTCCCAGTAGTGCCCAGTCTCACCCTTTTTTGGGGAGGGTTCCCCTACTAAAATAGACTGCAGAAAGAAATAAAAATAAATTAAAAAAAACATCGGGTACCCTTATTCTAACCTCTCTACTGGAGGACCTAGTCATTTTATGGCCCTCAGCTTTTTGGGAAACAGCGGATTTTTTCCATGGGACCTAGTGTTTTCTTTCGGTTTTTGGGAAAACCCCACACCATGGTGTTCTTTCTTTCGGTTTCCTCAAAGGGCTACCCTCAAAGGAGACAGACCCACATGGCCGTGGGTCAAAACCAATGGTACCAGTTGGGGTGTTTGTTGCAAAAAAACACGTTTTAGAGCCTATTTTAGTGGCTGGATTGAATCGGATGTTCACTGGAAGCTAACCGGGCTTTTGACCCATGGCCTGTGGAGCTTGATCCAACGCCCCCCCCCCCCCCGCCACCTCGCTGGAAAGGCCTCGGCCAAGTCCCTGCAGCGCAGTGACCTGGGGCCGCAGGCGGCGAAGCGAGCCGGGGGTGGTCCTTGACGCCCCCGTGTGGGCCGAGAGGTTGGGGTTGAAAACGCTCCGGCCAAGAAGAGTCTGGAAAGAATGTGTCAACAAATTTTGGCAGGCTGGCCAAATTTCAAGCATAGGTCTGGATTTGTTTTGCATCCTGGACGAAATCCGTTTTGCACCAGCTGAGAAGCCCCTGGAATGATGATGCCCCTTGTAAACACCAACAAACAATGGTTTGTCATGGTTCTTAAACGGTGCAGGATTCGTCCATCCACATTAGGTCTGGAAAAATGTGTCAACAAATTTTGCATGCTGGCCAAATGTCAAATAGGTCTGGATTTGTTTTGCATCCATGGTCCATGCTGGAGTTGAAAGACTCCGGGGGGCCAAATACTGTGGATGGACGAAATCCGTTTCGCACCGCCTAAGAAGCCCCTGGAATGATGATTCCCCAAAGTGGTGCAGGATCGTCCATCCACAGTAGGTCTGGAAAACTGTGTCAAGAATAATGCATGTTAGCCAAAATTTCAAGTAGGTCTGGATTTGTAAATCATACATGGTCCAGAGGGTACGATTTTGGGCGCGGAATCGGATTTGTTCTTGGGAGAGAACTATGCGGATAAGGGCTATGGGGATAAGGGTTGAACTCTCGGCAGGGAAGAGTTTTCTCTCCCGCGATCTTGGTTTCTGTTTCAAACGGCTCGATAAAGTCAGGGGATTGTTCCGTGTTTTTTGTTCCGCCTGGTGAACCTCACTGGGGATGAATGAGAGACTTCCAGCCATAGGACTCTAGGCTCAGCTATGCAATGGCCACGAAGATGGGGGTTGGCCATTTGCCATGTCACCGTTCCGCCATGCGGTTCCTGCGCTTTGGGTGGGCGCTGGGTTTGACATGGTGCGTGTGTTGTTTGCTTGCAAGAGGCATTTGCACAAGCGCCCCGCTTGTCGACCTGCATTCCATGGCTATCACGCGGTTTCCTTACCTGAAAGGCCATTCAGAAGCATTTACATGACGGTCATCTATGGTCTTGATTGTTTTCCTACATTCGTATGAGCGGAGTTTGGAGTTGCCGTAAAGAAAGCACCTTGCCTTTGTGACTCGTGACTCGTGTTAGTCAAGTGCTAGCTGGGCCCGTGGTCTTGTCGCTTTGCGACTCACGCTAGCCTCTGGCATGTTTGCCAGAGTCGATTGCTCACGCTCCACTTTTATGTCAGGTTCCTTTGCAACTGCTCGGTCGTCCATTCAGTTCTACATCCGGAAGCTCGCTTTTGGAGGAACCTGGTTTGGGAGACTCCTTTGGGCCGGTTCCATGTTGGTGCGTGGGAGCGTAGTTGGCTTAGAAGATATATCTGCTCTCTCCACTGCAACTTGCCACTCACCCAGAGCAAGCAACCAAGCCGCAAAACGCGCAGGGGTCTTTGAGGTCACCTTTGAGAATGTGTCACCGGAAGCCAAGCACCTGACATTTAGCACTCCTTTGCGTTGTTGCCTAACCTGAATGAAGGAATTCCTAAGACCTTCATGGGAACATGAGAGAAATTCTTTGTTTACCCTCCGATCGGGTAAAGCTGCTCTCTGCAGATTGTCGGTTCCCTTTGACACCATACGGCAAGGAATTTATCTGGCATGAGACAGGCCCAGATATGAGTTTGGCTTTTTGAGGGTATCATTTTAAGTTTGCTTTGAAGATAATCTCCAGGAACCTCATTTTGGCCTCCCTATTTTGACAGGTCTGTCTCGAAAATGCCATATTTTTTGATGGTTTTAGTCATCCCCGTACGTGATTGTCTTCTCAGTGTTTAGTCGGGGATGTCCATTTCACACACTAAAAGTCAAACTTTTAGCGGGGGATCTGAGGACAACCCAGGTTGGGACAGTTGAACCGGGAAACCAAAAAGAAGCCAAGCACCTGGAGTCTCCAAATCCTGACGCCATGTGGCGCCTTGGGCGGCCGCGTGTCATAAGAGGCCGGCCGGGCGCATCAAGAGAGCGCCGTTTGAGAAGGGGGGGGACCACTCGGATCTCTTTTGACAGGATTTGACTGGTGTTTGTTGTGTGCGTGCGTGTGTTCCGTGTTTTGTTGTTGTTGTTTTGTCTGCTGATTTGTTTGTGGTTTGGTTCGTTTAGTCTATCCGGCCAAGTGGGATGTTGTGAAACTTGTTTACATGTTAATATTCATTCACTATGGTCAAGAATCCAAGATATGAGTTTGGTCGGGGACAATAGCTGTGGTAGTCCATCCAAGCGAGCATAGCAACAAAAATCAACGCAACAACGTGTCGAGCCAAGTGCGAGTTCTAGGCAACGTAGAAGTGCAAAATGGTGGCAGTTGGCAGTAATTAGTGGACCTCGTTCCTTACAACCGCAGCAGCGAATTGGCAAATAACTTGCTGTGAATCTTCCAGTGCTCCCCCCGAAAAAAATTGTCAGGCAGCTCGGAAAGGCCTGGGCAGCAGTTGGACCTCACCGTTCTTGGGCAAGTGGCTGTTTTTGTTAGTTTTTTGGTTCTGTTCATTTTTAGTAAGGGGCTCCAAACACAAAGCTTGTTGCTACCATAGCAAGGGTTGTAAAGGTGGATCCTTTTGAGTGTCATGCTGGCTGGCCGAGTCACGGGTACAGCCCGTTTTCGATGTGTAGCCAATTTTTCGGGGAACCCATGTCAGGCACCCAGGAAAAAGGTACCGCGTCGTGAAGTGTTCAAATGATGTACTGTACCTAGGTCCCCCAGTAGTGCCCTTTTACCAACTATTTTGGGGGAGGGTTCCCCCACTAGAACAGACTACAGAAAAAAAGGGTACCCTTATTCTAACCTCTCTACTGGAGGACCTAGACGATGTACTGTACATTGCTCAAATGCATTCTCAACTCAGTCAGTTTCTTAGAACCTCCCTTTTGCGTCTGAGGTGATGAAGACATCCTCGATTTTTTGACGAGGGGTTTCTCTTAAAACAAGGGAACCCGCACAATGGGTGGTTTTTCTTTGGATTTCCTTTAAACTAACACAAAAGGGCACTCCAAAACAACATATCCAGATTTCCCCCGGCTTGTTTTTCGCCGATTTCGCCCAGGTTTCGGAAGAGCTACTTGGCTTGTGAAGGTCAGAGCGGTAGCCCATGCTTCAAAGAAACCAAGCGAAACCCGAAAGGAATACATACCAGCCCCCGGGTCCCTGCTACTGCTTTTTGGTTACCGTACAAGTGAGTCGGAAAAAAAAAAACGTTGTATGTGTCAATGTAAGGCATGATCCCAGGTCTTTTGGACCTATCAAATTAGCTGCACCGCCGCTTGTAATTTGAATGGCAGGAGTGTGTTGCAGGAGCGGCCGCGCAAGTCAAACATGGGGCCGCGCAAGTAAAGCGCAAGTGAAGCGCAAGTGACGCAGTGATTCATCATCATCATCATCATCATCATCATCATCATCATCATCATCATCATCATCATCATCATCATCCGCATGGTCGAAAGAATCCGGAAGATTGCTAGATTTTCGCGCAAGTCGCGCGCAAGTCGCGCGCAAGTCGTAGATGCCTTGGATCAGGAGTGGCCCATTTCTGTAGTTTGCATTTTCTTTGTTTCTGCAGATCCCAGCAATGAGTTGCAGCAGCCAGCAGCAGCAGCCAGCAGCAGCAGCCGCAGCAGCAGCAGCCAGCAGCAGCCGCAGCAGCCAGCAGCAGCAGCAGCAGCCAGCAGAGCCCGCAGCCAGCAGCAGCAGCAGCAGCAGCCAGCAGCAGCAGCCGCAGCAGCAGCCAGCAGCAGCCAGCAGCAGCAGCAGCAGCCAGCAGCAGCAGCCAGCAACAATTTGCAGCGGTGTACACACCTGAGACCTCATACACTTAAGGGGCATGTTTTGGGGGACCTCACTCTTATGAAGACCGCCGCTTGGATTTGCAATGAAAACATCCTGGGATAAGAGTTTTAATACGGTTTATTTTTTCCAGCTCACTTAGTGATTTTGGACGTGGGAAACAGCAGTGGCTGGGGGGTGCTGGTAGGTGTGTGTTCTTTGCAGGCCACGTAACTAGTACCCGGCTGTTTATGTTTTATGTGCCCATTGGTTTGTTTGTTTTTGAGCTTACTACCAGGAGACAGAAACACGTAACAAACACAGACTCGGGCACACACTCCAGACACAAAATCAGACAGACAGGAAACCAACCTGGCAGCCACGAAGGAACCAAGCAACAAGCAAGCAAGTCGGCAGGCATGCAAGCAACTCAACACAACGCAACGTAGAAGAGACAGAGCGACGCACACAGACAGGCACACAGACAGACGGACACGAAGGAGAGCAGAGAGCACATAGCACACAGCACACGCCACTGAGGCCTGTGCCAATGCCGCATCTTGGCTGCGCATCCTCAAGTGGTTTGAACCCACGTGGTGCTGTCCTGTGTGACTTCTGTGCTCCGCAGTCTTGTGCCTGTGCTGACAGCAATACCCTCGTTCCCTGGCAAGTATCTAGAAGCACCGCGTGCAGTTTGTTTTAAGCCCCAGGGTGGCGAAGCAGATGATTTCTAGCAGGAGCCTCCTTCTTGAGCTCTGTAACACCCATGATATTTGGCTGCATGACCCAGGCAATGATTCTCATCTTCTGTGTGGTGCTTCCAGGGGCAGGACCCCCGCTTGATGCCCAGTGTAAATGTTCAGTGGCGTGCGATGATACTGAAAACCTTTCGTCGGCTGCAGCGGCTGACCCTGCAGTATTTCAGGTTTTGTTTTCGTCCAGTCTTCCAGCAGTGCAATTGGCAAGTCGTCAACTCGAAACTTGGGACGCTGTGAAACCACGGTTGGTAGCTCTTAGGTGCCCTCAGAGCCATACGAGCATTTCTGTCAGGGCACCGAATTCCTTTTTGAATGTCGACTTGTGCTCAGTGTACGAGTGTTATGCATTCATCGCGGACAGGATGCGAAGTCAATCCAAGAGTTTTATGCCACCCTCCTGACAGCTTCCATTCGGAGGAAATAGTTGTGACTGGTGAATAATTAAATAAGTTCCAGT